CGACCCAAAAAGAGAATGACATTAAAAAAAATAATGAGCATTTTGGGAATAAATAATCGATATGGTAGTTCATTCTTTAAATAGCGGAGATGACAATGAAGTCACAGTCGCAGAAACAAGGTGTTTTACCATTAATATAAAAAGGGGGATCTGTTTCAATTAGAAAACTAACAACCGATTGCCGTGTTAAATGTGGAATACAAAACAGCTGCGAAAGCATTAGCCCAGGGTCTAAAATTAGTTCTACAAAATGGGATACAAAAAATAGATACATATAAGACAAATCCAACATGATTGACTATACGGACAAAATACAAATTAATGGTGCATTACCATTTTCTGATTTCTCGAAGGCGTTCGATTCAATGGAATTGACCTTTATGCTAGAAGCCATGACAAACGTTTGTTAAAGCTCTGTACAGAAATATTCCAAGGTGTATATCAAATGATGGGTGGCTATCACAAACATTCACAATTCAACTTTGATGTTTTATATTGCGGTCGAAATCATGGCAATTAGATCAAGAAGAAGTAAAGATGTCAGCGGAATTCCATATTATGTTGAATAAAAAAAGTGAGTATGGTGAATACTCCGGTTAAATTCTCAATAAAAAGAAGACAGAAGGGTTAGGGTAAAATGTGTAGGGCTTTACTTTGGACAGTATAAAAAGGCCGTCTCTAAAATCTTCCGAGTGTCAATAGTTATTGACATTCGGGGCATCTTCTCTGGAAAGCGGTTACCGGGTGTAAGGTTCCGGATTAACACATTATTGTTAAACAATTAGTTTTTTTCTGTAACTGCATGTACATTACATAAAAAAATGCTAGCTTCTTTATTATTTATTTTTTATTTATTGCATCGCACTATGGGTCGATTAAATGCAGTTTAATTAACGGTTAATAGAAATGTTCATATGGCGTCTATTAAATACAAGTAATGGGATTAGATAATTAATAAATACCTAAATATATAACAAACAAATAATATATGCATTATTACATTTAGTTGTGTATTTAACTGTTAATTATGTATATATGGATATATTTATCATACCACGTGCATGACGTGACCGGTGCAGGTACACAAGCCAAGTACATGTGTTATATACAACATGACAGCGCATTACTTTCGCTTTGCTGCAGTGAGACGAAGCATTTGAAATATTTCAAATGTTAAAATATACAGTTGGGAAGTATTGTCGGATACCTTAATAATGCTAATAGGTATTTTTTAGGCAGCTTATTTACTGCATCAACGCATCGTAATGCATCAAAATAGCATTAAGCATATGCATGTGTATGTTTTATGCATCAATTATGGAAGATATATAACACTCGTATTGTAGTAGCTCCTGATGAAATAGAGGGCACCATGTGTTCGTGTAAACGAATCTTCCTAAATGTATACAATTTATATATCAGATGAGGTAACACATTTGCAAACCAATGTTCGGAGAAACTATAGGCCTGCATGATTATAAGAGGATACTAATATTGGCCACCCTGCAGAATCTAGAGAGGTGTTTTTTTGTCCTTTGTTAATGGGAACGTGAAAGAAATGCAGAACATGGGATTTCCTTTTGTGAGAAAATATGAAAGAGACAAAAGTTGATCTGCTACCCTGTTGCAACATTTGGGATCTTTTTATTTCCTGCCTTTACCGTCTATTTTCTTTCTTTGCTACTTTTCTACTTTTCTACTTTTCTTTCCGGCGATGTCAAATTAAGGCATCCGTCTGTAATGACCCTGGCTGAACGAGGACGTTAAACCCAAAACAAACAAACAAAACCGCATCTGTGCTTGCGCACACATCTGAAAACCGGGTGTAGACATAAACCAATAACACCTATGTTGATTATATATTATACTTTCTGTACTTTTATTTCAATTGCAATCACTCTTCATATTCATAAGTCGATGTATTAAACATGAATTTGCATGCATTTCACTTCAAGTAATATATCGATGCATAAGTACTATTTAATAATTACTACATAAAACTTCCTTTGTATATATTGTTGCGTTACGTATATACAAATATGTATTTCAGTGACACTAATATATCAACGTATATAAAATTTAAGTTCTTTATATATAGGTCTTATAAGTAATAACAAAAGTATGATCCAATATTGGCACTGGATCATCACAAACAAATGTTGGTTGGATGCGTATTACATAAAAAAGATATATGGGCAAATTGCAAATACCTGCACGTATTTCACTTCCACTAATGTATTGACGTATCTCACCTTTAACTTCAAGAAATCTATTTATTAATATGATGAGGCATTAAGCATATACATTTTTGTTTATCACTTGTATTAATGTACCAAAGAAAATTCGCTGATAATAATTAAATATTTTTTTCTATGTAAATGAATTAAGCATATACATGTTTTCATTTTTACTTATGTGTCCCACTCTGGAAGATCTCTCTTAGTGTAGAGAGTGATGTATTACTGATTTACTTGGATGTTCATTGTAACATGTTATTGCATTACTAGATATGACGTTAAAAGGGACAGGGAAGTCCGTTCTTGCTATGTGAAGGGGGGAGGGGGGTGATGTCCAATATTAACATAAGTGAAATGAGTGTGTTACTGAAAATGAATGACATACATTCTATTACATATAACATTACACAGCCATCATCAGGCGTTGATCGCAAACGATGCAATTACAATTGTGACGCCTTACTTGTAATGACGTCATAATGACAAGATCCGAGTTATGTAGGGTTATACAATCTGAACGCCGCGCTTGAGATATTGTCAAAAAATTCAACAAAAATCTAAAAGTATATCTTGAGAAACCATCATACTGACCAAAACAACATAATTTGACGTTTAAAGATTATAAACAAATAAAAATACTTTACAATATCTATCACCGGTAAAGTGTAGGAGATTATCTTAAAGGCTGTATTCAAATATCGATATTGACCGGCAAACCGCTCTACATGAGATTTGATAACTGGTCACCTGTATAGGAACCGGCCGAAAAACTATTTTGGAAGCAGTTCAGCCAAGACGAGTAGCACATACCATCTTTAGCATATATATCTAAATCATATCATTGCTTTCTTTTAAATCAATAAGCTAGTTTAATAAACCAATTATTACAGAAACGCTCGTGTTAGATCATCTGCTAAATTAGTATTCTTTTGATATCTTATCTCGTTATCACGAATTGATAGCACGTTATAGCTACTACTAGGTATTTGTATCTCGTTGTGACGAGAAAGAAACTCATTATTACAAGATAAAATCGTTTATTATGAAAAGATGATCATTCCTTAAACATTAATAAACACATGTACTTTGATACAATAATAAATGTAATAGCTCGTATACAAGCATGTAAATGCTGAATATATAGACATTTAAAACACAATATACAGAGAGTACTTAAAGTACCTAAACACGGATACAATGTACATAAGTGGCACTGTGATACATGTACATGCGTGTATATATATAAAATACTTTAAGTTGAGATACGTTGATACATAATTAGTGGCACTGAAATGCATGCAAGTATATGCTTAATGCATCAGCGTATATGTATATAGAGTTATTGAAGTTGGAAACTTTGATACTTTGATGGCAGTAAAATATATCCATGCATATGCTTCATGCATGAAAGTATATAAAGTACTTTAAGTCGAGATACGTCGATACATTCGTGGAGCTAAAATGCATGCATGTACATGTATATCCTTAATGCATCAATATAAAAAAACAGAGTTCTTGAAGTTGACAAACTTTGATACAATAGTGGTAGAAAAATGTATACATGTGTATACTTATTGTATCAACATACAATTATAAAGGGTAAGCTGTTGAAGATGAAAGTCGTTGAAATATTAATAGAGGTAAAATTCATGCATGTATATGCTTAATGCATTAATAAAAACAATGAAAAAGCACTTAATAAAGGAATGCATTAGTGGCACTGGAATACATGTTTGAAGCATCAATAAAGTACTATTAGCTGAAGTGAAATGTATACATGTACTGTATGTGTTTAATACATCAGCATATAAATAAAAAGAGTAATTGCAATTGAAATTATTTGATGCATGAGGGGTAGTGAATGTACTTTGAAACAGTGTATGCAGTTGAGATACTTTGATATAATAGTGGTATTGAAATACATGCATTGATATGTTTAATGAAACCACGTTTACAGTATATTTATTTAGAAGTAAACCACTTTTATAAATTATTGGTACTTTGATGTATCAGATATATATCATTCATTCATGTTTCTGCGTGAGAAAATACAGAAAAATGAAATATCAGAATCTGTGAAAAGGTAAAGAATACATGGCTATTTTTATCAAAAATTTGAATCAGGGACAAAGATATATAGATGCATTTGGTTTGCATGTGTGCGCATACGATAAAATGCAATATTTTTACAAAGCGATCCCGACATAGGATAATCGAAGTTCATTTTATTAAACAGCGAAATCAACTTTCCTACAAAAACAAAACAATTTATATCAATATGTGTTATAATATTAAAGATATATGGCTATTTCCGATTCACATAAAATTATGTGCACACACGGGCAGTATCATGACAGTTTTACATTGCATTCCACACGTTGCACTAAAGCCAATTTTCAATATTTGGGAGTATATGAGCATCTGATACATATAGGTCAACATGTTATGTTAACTTGACGGTTTTCGAGTGTGTGCGCTCCGTAATTAGGTGCTGACAAATTTAGGTATAAACATGTATATAAATAGTGCCTAAATAGTGTATCGTAGTAATGACTAACATTGTGACGTGTTTAAGCGCCTCTTACCATGCATGTGTACTGCTATGTAAGTTATTTGTAGACACCATATACGGCCATTCTTAAACGCACAATACTTACCGCACAAGTTATCTACACCCGTACGGACGTAGTCGATTGGTCGTGTTAGTCCATTGACAAGCAGACGACAGGTGTGTGCTTCGTGGAACACGTGGTCGCCGCATAACTCCGGGTGAGTAGTTTAGGGGAGTTAACTGTTTGTTTACATTGTGTTGCTACGATCCTGACGCGGAAGTATTGAAACACTACGCTGTTGCTCTATGATGTGGAATAGGCTACTGCTATAATACATCTACACAGGATCATCATCACGGTGAGTTAAGTTTTCACATTAAGTTTTCACAACTCACATACACAATGTATCTACCAATTCTATAGTCAAATCAATTTAAGTATGTCTTGTGTGTGAACTGCATGGACTACTATGTATCATATATACAAATCGAAAGTAATTAAGAAAATGACATATTCCCTTCTCAAAATAACCGTTGCCTACGTTTTTATATTTCTATGTTTATTAAGGAATAATGTGGCAATACTATGACCTTTAAACTAATACGTTACCGACCATAGACATGTATTGTTACACACAGGGAACATGTGAAGTGGTATATGTAACTGGAAGATATATATATATATATATATATATATATATATATATATATATATAGCTTGTTCAGTCATGATTATGTAGGTCAATTTAATAAGTAAAAACATCATTACAGCGATACATACATTGTACATAAACGGTAAAACGGTTCCCTTTCATCGCACAATATACTAAGTCAATCATAACTATAAGCAAACAGCCAACTATATTTAAGTTTGTAGCAAACAACATTTACACGGGGATTTCATTTGGTAGCGGATTTGTAATAATCAGAAATATACAATATAATCTTTTTTTACAGATTTTTGCTAAAATGCCGCCAAAGACGAAAGGAAAACCTGCTGCTACGAAAGGACTTCCAAAACCAAAAAGTGCTACGAATAAAATGCAAGCTGGTTCGGAAAAACAGTAAGATGAATTAATACATGTAGTTCATTAATTTCTCAATATTTATAGAATGTATTTGGCAATTAAACATCTTTATTTTCCTACTTGCGTAAGTCCTCTAGTTTTGTACGGAGTGTGTGTGTTTATATTTGAAATAATTAGAACATATACATATAGTTGAAACCCGACTTCCATTAAATTCCTTCTGTATTACTTCATTCAGAACATTATCGAGGCATTAATGAACCCTATCAAATATAATTGAAAGAGTAAAAATATTACAATAGTTGCAGTCAATATCTGTAAAAAAAATCTCAACGAACTCCACTTGTTGTGTATATGGACGTGTTCATTATACTGTAATTTATATGGATACTAATTGTAGCAGGAAAGACTGTGAAGTTCGTGAGATTCATGAGGATTATAGTAAGAAAACGCGGTGAACTTTACATATAACGATAAATAAAGCATACCCTTCTTCTTTTTTCTTTTTCTTCAGGGCAACTACGGACAACAACGATTTTCTGGGCCAAACATTTGAGCAAGAAAATAAAAGGTATATATATTGCAATTTTAGAAGTCATAACATTTTACAATGTGAAATCCGAACAATGTTCTAAAACTTACCCATGTCAATAATTAAGTGCAATATATCTATAAACACTTTCCATCTTTGCATTCGTTGTTGAAATGTCAATAAAAAAAATCGTTCACATTAATGTGCAAATGTATGTCATGTGTTTTGGTTGAAGTAGGTTTACAGAATTGGCAAAAATAAATTACTGGGAAAAAACCAATCCAAAACATTTAAATTTGAAAATAGAAAAAAAACAGCCCAAGTACAATTATAATAACTGGAAAGTTGTTGATAATATGTAACGAATAAGGAAAATATAAAATTTAGCCTAACAAAATACATTTTATAAGTTTAAATATCACCAGATCCACTCAAGTGATCTATTACGATCACTTTTTGTCCGTCGTGCGTAAATGTTATCGGCTTCTCTGAACCAGACACTCGGATTCTGATGAAACTTGGTCTGATCAACAACATAAGGGGTACCAGAGTGCAAAACCTTCAAAAGAATTCCTTGCTGTATTGAAGTATTGGTCACAGGCCAACATAGTTTCGGTAAAGTCAAAAAGACATATTTGGTTGTTTGTACTTTTACACTTTGTTACAAAACAACATCGCAAAATCAAGGAACACGTGGTTTGACTCATGGGCCTCTTTTCGTTGATTATATTATTTTTTACATTTTAGATGTACTGTTTTCATAGAAAAACTGATCGAAAGATTGACATACTTTGGAGAGGATGACAAGACGTTACATGATGCGTACGTAAATTATTTTTTTATCGGTAGTTTAATATAACACGTATTCTACATTTATCTGTGATGCTGTGATTGCGACACATCGGGATTTCCTTCTTGCACTAACACCATTCCTCTTACACCAATATGTATATCACAAACACTTATTCCTGTCATTTGTTACTTTTACCTCAGTGTAACGACTATTTATATCGATAATACGACTTTTTGTCTAGTTTGTACGATTTAAGTGATATATATATGGACCATAATACTATCAATATATGAACAATTACACTGTCTATATAGCTACCATAACTCTGTCAGTGTAGAAACAATAACAATGTCAATGTAAGGACAATAACACTTTCTATATAAGGATTATAACACTGTCTATATAAGGACCATAACACTGGCTATATATGGACCATAACTCTGTATATACGGTGACAATAACACTGTCGATATAGGGACGATATCACTATTGAAATAAGAGCTGTACCTCTGTGTATCTGTTGACCATAACTCTGTATATACGGGGACAATAACACTGTCGATATAGGGACGATATCACTATTGAAACAAGAGCTGTACCTCTGTGTATTTGTTGACCATAACTCTTTAAATAGAAACCATAAGAACATCTACATACGAACATAACACTGTCTATATAGAACCATAACACTGTATATGTAGGGACCATACCACTGTCTATATAGAGACCATAACACTGTCTATGTAGGGACCATAACACCGTCTATATAGGGACCATACCACTAGATATGTAGGGACCATACCACTGTCTATATACATGTAGGGATTATAACACTGTTTATATGGGGACCATAACTTCGTCTATATAGGGACCATCATTCTGTCTATATATAGACTTTATAGCTGTCTAAATAGGAACCATAACTCTATCTATATAGGCACGATGACCCTATTGAAATCGGGACCATAACACTATCTATATAGGGACCATACATTTGTCTATATAGGGACCATAACACTGTCTATATAGGGACCATAACACTGTCTATATAGGGACCATTACACTGTCTATATAGGGACCATTACACTGTCTATATAGGGACCATTACACTGTCTATATAGGGACCATTACACTGTCTATATAGGGACCATTACACTGTCTATATAGGGACCATTACACTGTCTATATAGGGACCATTACACTGTCTATATAGGGACCATTACACTGTCTATATAGGGACCATTACACTGTCTATATAGGGACCATTACACTGTCTATATAGGGACCATTACACTGTCTATATAGGGACCATTACACTGTCTATATAGGGACCATTACACTGTCTATATAGGGACCATAACACTGTCTATATAGGGACCATAACACTGTCTATATAGGGACCATAACACTGTCTATATAGGGACCATTACACTGTCTATATAGGGACCATTACACTGTCTATATAGGGACCATTACACTGTCTATATAGGGACCATAACACTGTCTATATAGGGACCATAACACTGTCTATATAGGGACCATAACACTGTCTATATAGGGACCATAACACTGTCTATATAGGGACCATAACACTGTCTATATAGGGACCATTACACTGTCTATATAGGGACCATTACACTGTCTATATAGGGACCATTACACTGTCTATATAGGGACCATTACACTGTCTATATAGGGACCATTACACTGTCTATATAGGGACCATTACACTGTCTATATAGGGACCATTACACTGTCTATATAGGGACCATTACACTGTCTATATAGGGACCATTACACTGTCTATATAGGGACCATTACACTGTCTATATAGGGACCATTACACTGTCTATATAGGGACCATTACACTGTCTATATAGGGACCATTACACTGTCTATATAGGGACCATTACACTGTCTATATAGGGACCATTACACTGTCTATATAGGGACCATTACACTGTCTATATAGGGACCATTACACTGTCTATATAGGGACCATTATACTGGCTATATAGGGACCATTACACTGTCTATTTAGGGACCATTACACTGTCTATATAGGGACCATTACACTGTCTATATCGGGACCATAACACTGTCTATATAGGGACCATAACACTGTCTATATAGGGACCATAACGTTGTCTATATAGGGACCATTACACTGTCTATATAGGGACCATTACACTGTCTACAAGGGCCCATAACTCTGTCGTTATAGGACATCATGGCACTGTCTATATAGGGACCATAACCCTATTCAAATAGGAATCATACCTTTGTTTATTTGTTGACCATGGATCTGTCTGTCTAAATATGAACCATAACATTATCTACATACCAACGATAACACCATTCATATAGGAAACATAGCACTGTCTATGTAGGGACCATAACTCCCTCTGTATATGGGCCAGAGCACTGTCTATGTAGGGACCGTAACTCTGTAAATATAGGGACAATAACACTGTCTAAATAGAAACAATAACACTATCTACAATGGAGCGATAACACTATTCATACATATGTTGCAGCTCTTAATTAAGGGACCATATCACCGTGTTGAAGGTACCTGTTGATATACCTAGTATTTTAACATTAATGATATGTTGTAGATTTACAAACAATATAGATTTACCGCCACCAAAGCTCAAGAAGGCAGCAGCAACTGGATCACAACCGTAAGTTTTGTATTTTGAACAAAGCTACTTCTCAAGATTACAACTGTAAGTTTTGTACTTTTTGTACGTTTATAAGTTGTAAGTTACTTATCGTATGATTAAACAGTTTAGTTGGAATGTGTCGAATATATTATTAGCATGAACATAATACAAGAACCCCAGATACACTCTCAACTATAACTGGATCTTACACTTAAACCGTAGATAAAAAGCAAAAAGAGTATTTTCTATTTTTGTTTAATCTTTCTTGAAAGTCTTTAAAATCACTTTGTTTTGTACTAGTGACACAAATGTTGAGAACAGATACTGTTACTTGTTGGGTCCTCTTAATGTCTTTCCTCAGTGAAATTGTGAAAGGATTTGGCAAGCGCATTACATTCAATAATTCCATATATAATATCCTCTTTTCTCACTTAATTGAGATCTAGCAGAATGAAAAAATGTGTGTTTCAGGCACAAGCAAAATGTTGGCATTAAATGTAGGAATGTATGTAAAAAAACACACAAGAAAATACATAAGTGACAACATACCGGTAATTTGACACCAAACACATTGATGAAACTAAGGGAAAATATGGAATAGGGAAAGACATACATGTGAGACAGTTCCTTGGGAATGCGCCTAAAAGTTCCAGAAGAGAACGCGTTCTCTGCTTAATCGACGACACGTGCATCTGTGTCAAAATCCTTGTAGTACAACGGTTTTAATGATGGAGCCGGGGTAGAAGAATTAGACTAATGATTATAACCAAAACGTCGATATTCATATTTCACAAGAAAATAGATATTCCAATCAGATTATACTTGCTACCATGACATTTTCTCATTATTTTTCCTCAGCTTTCGACAGAGAGCTGTTCTGAGTAAATCCTTTACTATCGAGTATTTAGGATATAAAAATACAAATGTTGCTAAATACATACATATCTCTTTGCGTTTCGTTTTGCAAAATATGTTTCATTAAACGTTTGTATGTGTTATGCTAAGGCGAGTCAATTCTTCTATATATCAATTGCATTGAGCGATTTTATATTTTTATAAATAGAATGTCTAAAAGCATCAAATTTCTATACAGAAAAATTCTTTGTTTAACTATAAAAAAATACAAATAGCGGAAACCGATTGAAGAGTCAAATGCATATTTGATAACGTACGCTGTTGAACCAACTGCTAGCTTTATGTTAGCCACAGAGACCACCAACAGACATTTAGACTACTTTTTTCACCCACAATCACTTAAGTTATCTAACTTCCAAGTCATTGGATAAACCTACTAAGGGTTGGTAAAAATGTTTGGTTATTTACCGTTGAATAACACCGGTACCATGGACGTTATTTCATTGGTCAATCTTCTAATAATGACATCAAGTAACAATGCTTATGGACGTCATCTTTAATTGTGACGTTGTAGAAAGAAAAAGGCTCAAAACTCGTTATGGTTTACTCATGTTTATCTAACTCTCGTTAGTTAAGTTTCCAATTGTAACAGACAATCGGTAAAACCCGTGTCTTTATACAATTTAAAAGTAAACATACTTGAGTTAGATAAACATGATAACCAACAATCACTCATTATAGAACGTCAACATATCTACATTTGTATCATACAATTATTCATTTATTCCTGATGATAAACCTACATTACACATCATATAACTACAAAACGTAAGACATTAAATATATGGGTAACCATGCCACTGCTTTTAGTAATAAGCAATGTACTTCTATTAAACTTATGACCGCCATTCGAACATTTTGCAAACTGCATATGTCTAGCACTACACGTTCCGTAAGATGGCAAATATGTTCATGAAAAATTATAAAACATTTTATAGTGAGAACGTGGACGAATCAAGCAGGCTGACAAAAGAACTTGGGGCACTCCAAAAGAAACTGTGAGTATATGCAGCGTCCCGTCATTTTTTTGTTCAAACTCACGAGGAAAAAATGAAGTGGTGACATATCCTTCGGTAATAATTTATATTACACTTGAAAGGATGAATTTGTTTAGGAATCCCAAACTGAACTTGAGTATATGTACCCGATTTGGTGCATCCTCATGGCAGAGGGCTTTAGGGATTTGCAGCATTATTTTCTCCTTTAAGTGATTAATCATTAAAGCCAGGAAATCCCCACTTTTAAATATGCAAACGATCGATAAATGTCATACTTGGTAAACAACTAGTTCTATGTTATCATCAAATGAAATTAGCAAAAAATAAACATGAAAAATAATCATCGACAACATTCGTTTTCTGAATATTAAACTTTAGCGAGACTAGTGAATTTTAGGTTGTTATACTATTGCTCTAACCCGACTGAGCTACCTGGTTGACGGAAGTATCCTGTCCAAACTGTGCTGTAGTCATACAAAATCCTACAGTGCAGTAGGATAGGGATAGGGACCATTTACGTGGCTAAATAATTGTTCATTGATAAAATACATATAATCACGCGCCTGACCTCATTTCGTAAAGCATGTGCCAGAGTATTGGTATATTTTGCTTCCAGGGAGGACAAGGACAAAGAAATTACAGATCTAAAGGAGGAAAAGCAGTCTCTGGAGTCAAAATTGTACGTAAACAGGAACAAATACGTCGAATGGATTTCAAAAATATTGTTATCTTTTCTGACATTAAACAGACTTTATGAAACTATATAACTATATAAACTGTGCTGTAGTCATACAAAATCTTACAGTGCAGTCGGATAGGGATAGGGAACATTTTTGTGGCTACTTGTCATTTCAATAGTATGGAATGAGCCTTTCATTAGTATTTTACTGTACATTTGAACAAGCTATATTACATTCCCCTCTTAACATATATGGATATCTCATTATTCGATAGCTAAATCGTATTTTATAGAATATTAGTATTAGACTTGTATTTGCTGTTTCACATTTTAGGTATTAAAATGATTTGGTTGATTGCTTGATTGTATACGATTTGACAAACACCCCGGCCTTCAACCTTTATATTCGGACTGGTAAAAGTTCCGGCACTCAACCTTTAACGCAGACGACTGGTTTTAACCCTTGTTGTCGTCGTAGCATTTTGATTTTTCTGGAAAATAATATTTTTTTCCTGCCAACACAAATCCAGTAACGAAGGTAAAGCAAAATGGTGTATATCTATATAAATCTATAGAATAAAAACATATTTTTTTCAGATCGTCCGCTAGGCCTTTCTGCCTTTCAATCCGCCTGAAGAAGCCCTAGACGGCAGAAAGGCCTAGCGGACGATCTGAAAAAAATATGTTTTTATTCTATATTTTTCTTCGCAAGGACTTATTTACTTATTATCTACTATATATATATATATAAAAAGTGATTAAATGTCCATGTGAAGGAAGTAAATATAGAAAAAATAAAATCAACGACCGACTAAAAAACTAGCTGCTTTCACCCTCCACAGGGCTCTTCAGGTTTATTCAAAAGAACAACGTCGTGACGTCACAATTACATGTCATCACACTACAATAGTAACGTGACGTCACGAAGTACACAAGATTGGTGGACAATTTGGCGTAAATTTTTTATTGTGGCCTGTTGAGACTCGGTTTTAATATTTTTATTAATAATAAAAATGTATAATAAAAATATTAAAACCGAGTCTCAACAGGCCACAATAAAAATCTTACGCCAAATTGTCCACCAATCTTGTGTACTTCGTGACGTCACGTTACTATTGTNTATAAAAGCAGAAAAAATTTCCTTACGGACGAAGAAATATTATAAAAAGAAAACTTCTCAACAACGAGTCTTTAGTACTTTCATCTCTTCTAGGAGATTCTTCAGACTGTTTATTTGAAGTATATGTTGTGACGTCATAAACTATGACTATATATATATTTATTATACCTCTACTGAGTTTTCCCTGTGTAAAAACATCACAATAAAATGTCATATTTCCCTTAAATCACTTATATCTCTCCATCTGAGGGATACTCCCTCCCCAAAATAGGACTACTCCCTGCAAGAAAGGACTACTCCCTACCAGGAAGAGGACTACTCCCTAATGAATATTTGTGGGCGGAGCTTATACAATTGCAACCAATGAAAACATTTGGTAGGCGGGGCCTTCTCCGTGACGCAGATGACGTCACAATTCAGAACCAAACGACAACAGCGAAAATGGCCATCGATGTAGGCCGTTTTGATACATGTAATCTTACTGATCAGGAATTACACCATATTTTGGACGCTAAAAGTATAGCTTAAATACAAAAGCTGTTGTTAGGACAGTACTTCAAACTTATTTAACTGAACGGAATGCCGGATGCGTCGACGATTAGGACAGAGCAAGCACGGAGGTGAACGTGTGTCCACGCAAGTGTTATGCTTAAAAAAGTGGATGGGACTAAATATGCTAAGAAGTCAATGGTGACTATAAGATAAGGTCTACAAAAACACTTCTTGATTGCTAGAAATGAAGATATCATCAACAACGATGCATACAGCACTTTCAATTTTGATTAGTTTTTCTCTTTGAAATTGTTTAAAAATGAATTTATAAATTCATTTGTTAAATTGCCTTAATTTGTTTCGTTATAATAAAACAGTTATAGAATGGCTAATTCGTGAAATAGCAAATTTATGGTCACCCTTTGTGAAAAACTGTTTCCCTCGGCGGCTTTGCCGCCTCTGGAAATATTTAGCTTATTAAGCTTGAAATATCAACTTAGGGGGACCATACATTTGCTATTTCCCTCGTACCCATTCTATAACTGTATAATGTTGTGAGTACTAGTGTACGATGCCATATTGGAAACATAGTCACATTACAGGAAGTATAGCTCCGAGAAGTTGACCGACTGGTGCATTTGTTGGCCGACAAAACCACTACGACTGCTTAAAAGAAACAAATCAGATGCTGATATATGTCCCACTTTGAAATTCTTTTGCAGCGCACAATGCGAAAAAGAAAAAGAATACTTAGGAAACAGAAACAAGGAATTAGACATGCAGGTGCAAAAATACAAACACAAATCGGAAAAGCAGAAAACGTACGTTGGTAGATTTCTTTTCAGTTTTACTATCTTTGGTGATGGTTTTAATCGTATGTAAGGTTCCGCAAGAAGTTAAATTTCTTTTGAACTTACCTCTTTGAGAGTGATGAATATAGTTTTTGTCCAGAATGGACAGCTTTTCGATGCTTACATCAATATACATTCACCATTGCTGTTCATTATATGATTAGATGATGAATATAAGAACGTGATTTGTCAATTTAAAGGGAAAATATATAATATCAATATTTAAAAGGATATGTTTACAGCAATCTAAATGTTTAACTCTATTTAGAATCATGTTTAACAATATTCCTAAGTGACATCAATGTTTTGAAACTCTGGTTGTTCTTACAGGCAACATCGATATGATTGTTATTGTACTGCTTCCATTGATGTATGCCTGTTGTCGTTACTTGTATTGTGAATTGCATTTCAATTATTGCTATCTTTCCTTTCTTTTAATATAAAATTCAATATGGACATTATTCACGGAGAAATATGAAATAATGTATACAGAACATCCCAAAAGTGATTATAATGTGTTTTGTATAAAATGTTCTAAAAACAATCATGTTTTAGTGTATATCATACCTTTCTTCACTGATTAACACAATTATTTTTTGCAGTTACGCAAATAATCCGTCTGTACAGCCACGCAGTCCAAAACATGTGCCCCCAACCGACAGGTTTGTATTTAGTTTTCACTTGATATATTGTAAGATAATAACAGCATAAATTCAGTGACAACGATATGAAGGCTTTTTGCAGGATACAGAAACCTCGAAAATGGTAAAAATGTTTATTTTATATCAAACACTCGTTACGAAAATTGTATGAATTGATAAAAAATAGTCGTTCGGTTTGTAAAACAATGAACCAGTTTTCAATATTACACTATAGCTGTGTGGTTTTGACTGTAAGGCACACAAATGATACCCATTCATAATATTCAATGTATTTCATTTGCAGCGAAAACGACATCGACACTCTTAAGACAAATCTGCAAAGGCACCAATATGAACTAAAGAAATTAAGGTACATTTTTGCATTGACTTCACTGATTAAATGTATAGAATCATGAAAAAACAAGTAGATAATAGGTAAGAACACTACCAACTTCTTTGATGTTACCTTCAAAAATCAGACAAAGCAGTTAGAAATGGCGAATGCAAATCACGTTATCACAAAAGCTCAAATTATACGATCAATTGAAAATAGTTCAGGAAGATATTTTAAACAAGATAGGAGGTAACTGGTGAAACGAACCTTCATCTCGTTAACGTGGAAATATAATTTGTAAAGGCGACACTTTGTTGACTTATAAGGCCTTTCTATATACATGTATGTTAACATTGCCACTTTCATAAAGGCGAGTATATCACACAATGTACATTCTACCGCAGTAAAGGTCCGATATTCGTCATTGCTTTGTAAGGTTATATTATTATTGCAATATCCTTGCATAAAAGAGCGTAGATATAATTTTCGACGTTATAGGAAAGGAAAAGCGAAATGAATTGTACATTCATGGAATATTCATTGCACCAACTCTATATAATTATTTCCTATAGTTGTTCACTGATCAAATACATATAATCATGTCACTTGACATCATTTCGTTAAGCATGTGCCAGATGATTGGTATGTTTTGCTTCCAGGGAGGACAAGGACAAAGAAATTACAGATCTAAAGGAGGAAAATCAGTCTCTGGAGTCGAAATTGTACGTAAACAGGATAAAATACATCGAATGGATTTCAAAAATATTGTTATCTTTTATGACATTAAACAGACTTTATGAAACTACATATGCACCAATAACAACAGTTGCTGCTGCTGGGGAAATGTTTCGGTGTATGGATGAAATATCCATCCGAATGGCGTTTTTGTTCTCACGAATAAGCATAGCCTGCTTGTTACATGTATAAGTCACTGGATGAATAGGAAAAACTACAACCGCTGATTCCGCACACAGTTCCTACTGTGGGAAGAAATCAAATAACTCAGAGAAAACCCAATTGGTCGGGCAGGTGACCCCGTATCTTTTCATGGCTGGCTTGGGGATCGAGCCCAGGACAGGACGATTGGGCGCTGTCCAGTATTCAATACGAATAGTCCTAAAATTGTCACTTTCTGTCTTTGACTAACATGTGACTATGTGGAAATTACATTTTTAATGAAAATACACCAAACATAGAAACAACCGCGATATATCATCTCTGTATAGTCATATTTTAATGCTATACAGTGCTTTGCATATACATATTAACATAGTAAAATATATATGTTATACGTATACAAATTATATGTCGTTTGGCTGTTGATTATATATACTAAAATTGTTTAAATACGTACATCTCTACTCAACTAAACAAAGAGATTAGTATGATCACCATGTTGAATATATATCACTAGGGAGAAGACAACAAAAGAAAAGAATCAATATTTAGGAAGAGCTTTTGAATACATTTCATAAGGAAAATGCGACTCGTAAATCAGACATATATGTCAACTAATTGCGATTATGGTCAGGGGAATTTCTATCCGTTCAAAAAACTGTTGATGCATTCAAATTCAGTATTCTATAAAAAAAAAACTAAAAAAAACACTATGATTAACTTCAATTTGTTAGTTCTTTAGAGTGCTGCTTTTAATTACCAAGAGACCGATGGTAAAGATATTTCACCTGAATCGTATGTTATGTCATTCATTTAACTGAATTGCTTTCATTCGCTTTGAAAGTAGCATGATTAGTAAACGAAGTGAAAATGACATTTAAGCTGTTAGTGTTTCTAAGTCGTATTTATTTACATGATTTTGACGTTTAACCAATTTGAATGTCACCAATATTTACTAACAATTGAGCAATGGTCCTGATAGGCTTCTTGGCTATGTAGTTACGCCATTCATTGCCGTACCGTTTTTACTAGTAGTTATGACATTATACGAACTAGTTTTAAATATTAATCAATCATAGTGTTATGCTGATAACATTTTCTTAATCAGTACTGTAACCAAAATAAAACTGTTGTCCTGTAGGTGGTAAATGCTATAAAGACAGTCTTGAACGCTTTATTGCATGGAACTATTATTTCGGGTAGCCTATATTTCACGCTACAAAATTGACAGCAGGTTCATGTTGTTCTATTTACTTTCCGTACGAGGGATTTGTTGTGAGGTTTATAGACATTTAAGACTGCGAACAAAAAAAATACATCTTAGCTATGTAAACGCTATACAGTTATTACATATTTGGCATGTTAGCCGCGGTTATAAATACAAGAATGCATTAATCTTAATTTAGAAAAATATAACCTGTATGAATATATATATACACAGTTGTGTGATCGCACAACGTTACACGATATGCGGTGTGTGCACGGTGTGTGCACGGTGTGTGAACGGTGTTTGCACGATGGGCGAACGATAAAAAGCTGGACGATCGTTCCTTGCGCACATCTGTGCGCACGATGGACGGACGATGTGCGATAACAATCGTGGTTGGTGTAAATTGAGGAATGCCTTAACAATTTATACGGTTTCATGTTTAAACATATAAACTTGATGTTTACGTATGTTTCTATATTCTAGCAACATTTATAAACTTATCTTTCTGTCTTTACATTCTTATATTTATAAATTGTGTTTTCTGTGTTTTTAAACAAACTTAATCGATACATGTAAAATTACAACACAACCCCGTATACAGGTAAACATAACCACTTTGTACATGCACCTGGACCGTAGTTTTCTCCCCTCCTGGGGCACTTACTTAACTCGTCGGGTAAGGCCGGGGGGTGAAAATCCAAGTGAAGGGGAGCTATAGGCAAACGAATGCAAATAACAAATACTTTTCATTAAGGTCAAACGGTATCGCGTATCAGCTGTGTGTCAGGCACTGGTCAGGTAAAACTCCGGACACTCATCACATTGTTATTTACCTGTTCTGTTACCTTGAAGCCAAACCCATTCTTGACAGCCTAACGGTCGCTGTAATACTGCGTAAAACGCATTGTGAAATTGTATAATCTTGATTATTGTGATGAGAAATTACAGATATATACACATTGTACATTATCGCATACAATCCTTCCGTATTTTTGTCATTCCGTAATTTTGATTTACAAATAATACCAAATCGCACAACGGGGCGAACGATTGCTAAATCGCACAGTTGTGCGAACCATTTGTGGACGATGTGCGGACGGTGTGTGAACGATGTATGCACGGTGTGCGCACGCTATTTTTGGTGCGTTGTGCGGTCCCACAAATGAATATATATAACCTTCAGCTGTATATATTGGGTTCAAACAACAAAACAGTAAAATGTATATAAATATACTAGAATGCATAAACTCACACATCCTAATTAAATACTTGTTCTGCACTTCAGATTAGCTAACGGGTAAAAGCAAGTTCTTAACAATTTATATAATATATCTTCATCCGTTCAGTAAATGTATCGGATGGATACAATTTACAATTATACGTCGAGTTTTAAACTAATTATTGCATTGTACCTATCTCTAGGGAGAAGAAAATCGAGGAAGAACAACTGCAGAGAGAGAAATCAGATGTCACAAAGGACTAGTATGTTAGAAAAACATTTTTTCTAGATATCATGAAATGTGTTATATCATAACTGAATTAGTCAATTACATATATGTCGTAAATGTGATATTAAAGTATTGACTTAGCTTCACTAGAGAACACATTTAAGATATTTAAGCTTCCTGATGCGAAGGAGAAATCAATATGTGTACTGTTATAATGCGGTACTCAACGTCATGAGAAGTTACAAGTACATTGGTCGATGTTCGACTTCTGAACCAATAGATAGATCTTTTTCTTTTGTTGTATAAAAAATATTTCAAAATAAAGAATGTACGCCTCCATTCTGTAAAAACATGTACATATGTGCATCATAATATACATATAAATACATATGGAGCGTTGATAGCATTTCCATTGAAACTGTTGAAGGTATCAAGTATTCAAACTTGTCATAGTTAATTGTTGGAATGCATTATCTAGCCATCTCATGTCTGTTACCCATAATGACTGTCATGGATTTGTTGTGTTTCCAGCGAGAAGCAGAGAGAGGCATTCAAAACGCTTCAAGAAGAAAATGCAGAACTGAAAGCAGAAATGTACGTACATGTAAGCTAAAACTAATTACATGGAGGGAATTTAAAAGAGTACCGGTAAAATGTCTGGCTGTTCTTCATTTTTGCTTTCAATCAGAAGAAAACGATATTCGATGACGAGAGAACAGTTCGCATTTTTTTCCAGGAATATAGAATGCGTGCAAAACGGCGGGGATGAAGGATCTTGTATGGGTTTAATTATGATAAATCCCCAAGCGATCGTGAATCCTTGCGTATGACTAGGACGATAAATGCACTTTTAGCTCTGCATCAAAACATATAAGGATGTGCTCTGTTTGTATTAAGGTTAAAAATAACAGAAAACCAAAGATTGAAAGTGAAACATGTCATTTATTTAATAGAATAAATGACGGTATAAAATATCATCTTTTCACTTATTGTACACACTTGTACAAAGTTTTCTGTTACAAAAGATGAAACAAAATAATTAGACCCCATTTATACAAAGATGGGGATCAACTTGCGCCTCATTTATTTAACATATATAAATGATGGCATAAAAAGAAAACCCAAATAAAATAAAATATTGTACACTTGTATCAATTAAAAATGGACAATAATTTTCTATCAATTAAAAATGGAGGAAGGGGTGGGAGGTGGCTTGTGATAATATCAAAACTACTAGCTGCCACTGAAACTTGTGTCGGAATTTTTTTTCTGTAAACAAACTGGCTGCGCATGCGTGTTACATCCAAATATAATTGTAGATGCATGCCAGTACGACTTACTTTCCTTGTCCGTAACAGTAAAGCGAACTAAAACTGATCAGCGCTAAAAACATTTATGTTAATAACATAAATTAGCCTTTAAGTACGATGTGCGATGTATTTGCTACAACAATGAATAATAAGTGAACCAAACATTCCCTTTGAGCCGTTCAATTGTATGATGTAGCCAAATTATACGAAGGCAGTGTAAACTGTATAGTTCTAGTACCCTTGCTATCTTACTGTTTTTCCTGTGAATTATGATATGATATAAAAATAATAATAATAAACGATCATCATGATTGATCAACGTATGATACATAGATGTTCGTTCATAATGATTAACTTGCTTCTCCTTGCACATTGCATGAGAAATAAAGTAAAAAAAACATCAAAAAAGTTTCGTTAGTGTAAAGTAATGACAGTTAAATTCTTAAGCTAAAGTTTCCTAGTTATGTAGTTTATTAAATAAACTTTTTTATTTTACAGCAATTAGGGAACCAGTCATTTCAATTTGAAAATGTTGCTAACTGATGAACCGCCTTAGTTTTATTGAGAAAAATATTTGATATTTACCTTTTTCCGTGATTCAAATACAACGAATACATAACCATTCACGAAGTTTAAGCGCTTTAAAATACATTTTGATATACATTTTACTTTTTGGTCACTATTTTACTATTAATTATAAATCTAGAAGAATATTACCTATACACATATATTTACTTCAACTGTATGGATTGCATTGTCAAACCAACAACGAAGCGTGCAATGTATATGTATTAGAACGCATAAACTAACATGAATATTTTCATGTGATTCCAAATACGAAAAAAATGTCAATGTTGGTCGTAATTATTGTCATATTGTAACATTGTAAGGGTGTTTATAGGCATCTTTTCCCTTGTTTCGAAACACGTTAGAAATCAATGTGCATTTAAGACGTAAAGAACATCTGATGAGACTTAATACATGAAATGGTCTTATGGTGCAGTAAACGTTGCTATATTTCCTTTTCTGCACCGAATTGTTATTTTTCAATTAGGCTTTCCTATTTTTCCTGTTTTTTGGTTTTTACAAATACATAGTATCTCTGCATTATGACAGTAAATGTTTCAAACAATTATTCATTTAATCACACCTAACGTTTTTTTAATTATCAGTATGTTGTACATTGTATATATTCCTAGTGAGAAGAAAACAAAAGACGCGGAAAAATTGCAAACAGAGACTTCAGATCTAAACAAAGGAAGGTATGTTAACAATTTTAGACATTTCCTTGACATAAGTAAACGATATATATGAGTTGGGTTGTTAGAAAAACCGTGTTGTATATATCATCAGGGAGAAGACAAACAAAGGAAATGGAGCAATAGCTAAAGGATATATCTTATAACTTTTAATTTATTTGGTTACGTACGGTACGACATTCAGGAAGAGACATTGACTAAACCATAGGGAGAAAATGTGGCTCGTAAATCATATGCTATTTCATGTGTTTATCTTAATTTCATTAATTTGCTTTGAAGGCATTATGATTAGTAAACTAGCTGAAAAGTTATCAACACAGAAAAAAGTGTCAAGTAATGACATTTTAACTGTATTGACATAATTTTGACGTTTAAACAATTTGAATGTCACCAATATTTATTAATTAGAGACCAATGAACCCGATAGGTATTTGGCTATATAGTTTTGCCTTCCGATTTCTTACCGATTCGACATTACCGAAATCATATAAACTAATAATACTAATAATCAATCACACTATGCTAGGAAACAGTATAGTACTAAAACCCAAATACTACCGTCGTTTTGTAGGAGGTAAATGATATATTAGCAGTTATTCTTTTTTATCACACGTTTATTACATGGAACTTTAATTTCAAGTTGCCTATTACGAGTATTTGCCTGTTAATCACCTTTAAAAATCGATTGTCGGTACATATTGTTCTAATTTACTTTCTCCAAGTTGAACTTATTTTATGACGTTTCCAAACATTTAAGACAATGAATAAGATGTATATATCTGCGTAATTTGATTTGCATATTTGGCATGTTAACGATTGTTGTATATACAAATATGTATTATATTTTAATATAGAAACATGGTAAAATAACCAACATGTATTAATATTAGATAAAAGCAATTTCTCCATTTTTACAATTTTTGGATACTTCTTTACCAGTTCAGTATCGGATAGTTTCACTGTATCTGTTCAGTTATGCATCAATTACTAAACTAATTATTATATTGCAACATCTCTAGAGGAAAAAGAGTAGAACAATTGCAGAGAGAGAAGTCAGATCTTACAAAGGACAAGTATGTTCACATTGTAACCTTTTCTTGATAATGAAATATGTTATATCATTGGTGAATTTGTAACTAGGATGTAAATGCGATAGTATAGTATGAACTAACCTTCACTGCAGAACACGTTTATTATATTTAAGCTTCTTGATGCGAAAGATAAATCAACATTTGTGTTGTAACATTGCGGTACTCAACGTCGTTAGAAGTTACAAGTACATGTGTTCGCTGTTCGAGTTACTTACCAATCAATATATGTATCCTCTTTTTTTTTCGTTGTATGAAAATATTTCAAAACATAGAATATACGCCTCCATTCTGTAAAAACATCTATACATGTGCATTATAACGTATATACATATGAAGCGTTGATAGTATTTCCATTCAAACTGTTGAAGGTATCACGTATTTAAACTTATCAAAGTTAATTGTAGGAATGCATAATCAAGCAATCTAAAGTCTTTTACGCATACTTACTGTCATCATGGGTGTTGTTTTCCAGCGAGAAGCTGAAAGAAACATTGAAAACGCTTAATCAAGAAAATGCAGAACAGAAAGCAGAACTGTACGTAAGCTAAAACTAATGACATGGAGGGAATTTAAGAGTACCGGTAAAATGTCTGATCATTAACAAATTGAAAAAGCCCTTCATATTCTTCATTTCTGTTAGCAATGAGAAGAAAGAAAATATTCGAAGACTAGAGAAAAATTCGTACATATATTTGTATTTCGTTTACTGGGATGCAGAATGAGTGCGAAAAAGGCGAAGATGAATGATCTTGTATGGGTTTGATTTTGCTGAATCCCCAGGCGCTCGTAAACATCTGCGTGGGACTAGGATGATGAATGTACTTTTGAAGTCAGACGTGTGATGGTGTCTTTGCAACAACAATGAATAACAAGTGAACCATACAGGCCCATTGAGCCTTTTAATTGTATATTGTGGCAATATTACACAAGGCAGTGTAACCTGTATAGTTTTAGTGCCCTTACTATCTTACTGTCTTGCCTGATGATTATTATATGATATCAAATTGATAATAATAAACGATCATTATGATTGATCACCGTATGATCCATAGATATTCATTTAGATTGATCAACTTACTTCTCCTTGCAGTTTGAATGAGCAATATAAACATATAAAAGAAGCACCAAAAAGGCTTCGTCAGTGTAGGGTAATGGCAGCTCATCTGCATAATTTAAGTTTTCTTGTTATCTAGTCGATACTATAATATAAACTTTATTGATTTTACAGTTAACCGATACACCGCCTTACATTCACTGAGAAGGGCATTTTGATATTTACATTTTTTCCATGATGCAAACACAACGAATATATAACCATTCACGAAGCCTAAGCGCTTTATAATATTTTTTACGTATAAATCTCGTAAAATATTACCTGTATAAATATATTTACTTAAACTGTATAGATAGCGTTGTCAAACCAACAACGAAACGTATATGTTACACATAAATTAACATGATTTAATACCAAAAACAACAAATTTCAAAGGTTGGTCGTACTTATTGTTATATTTATAACATAACAAGTTTTATTTTTACTGATGCGTCCTCATAAATGAAACGATCATATGATGCAGTTAGCGTTTGCTTTTTTTCGCTTTCTGCAACTTAATACTAATTTTCCGATTAGTCGTTTCTTTTTGTAGTTTTTTAAGTTTTTACAATATGCATAAATTGTATGTACATCACCAAAACAAAATGTTCAAAACAATTATTTACTCAATCACACCTAACGTTTTCATAATGATCAATATATTTTAATTTAATATATTCCTAGTGAGAAGACAACCAAAGCCGTAGAGAAATTGCAGAGAGAAAAATCAAGTCTCACAAATGAAAAGTATGTTAGAAATTTCGGACTTTTCTCCGACATAAGAAAAAAGTATATATGACTTTGGTATGATCAAAAACGGTTTTCTAAAGAAACCTTATTTTTCAAATTTAATCAATTTCAAATTTATGGTTGTTACAATACAACGAAAAAAAGGACGAGCTCGAATAGTATAATTCGTTTCCCAACAGCGCAACAGTGCTACAGTGCTACAATGAAACTATCTAGTGTTATGTCTTCAGTGGGACTTGGATACTGGAATATAACAATTCGTTTCAATGTAACCGAATTTACTATAGTCCAACTGCATAATTTTGAAACCACTGTAACTTCAACACTTAAATAATATGTAAAATGTTTGTGCTTAGTATTATATATTATATAATGTATTTTTTTGTTTCACGGAAAAACAATCGGGATTGCTTGCATACAGCCACCTATTACTTATGCATACTTAACTTCAATGATAAATATGTTTTAACATACACATTTTAATTGAGACACTACTGCTTATACACAATTTATTTCAACAATAGATCATGTTTTCATAAAACTGGCCGAATCTACCAAATGCATTTTATTTTTGAAAAAGCAATATCCGGTTGTGAAATTGAAACACTGTCAATTCGCCAATTTATTGTGATGATCATGGTTCGAACAAAACAGTATACAAACAGAGGAGCTTGTTTCTTTGAAAAACTTAGGTGATACCTAAAACAGACAAATGATAAACAATATCATTTGTCTGTTTTAGGTATCATCTTAGTTTTTTTTCCAATTGAATTTCAGTTGCGATAAACCAAGCGAATCAAGGCCACACTCAAAATGCCATTGACAATAACAGAAAATATTTAAATATGTTGACTGAAATATAATATAAATGGTCAGTAGAATGTATGTTTAATGATCAAGAGCGGTTACTATGAATATGAAATACATTCAGTTTCTGGTTTATCTTTAATCAGACCAGCCTACTGTTTTTAACGATGTGCGTTTGATATCACATACATGTATTTTAGGTCCCTCATTCACTCACTATAACAATTCAAATATATAGTGTGTAGTTTTGATTAAGGCCTGGTAGCATATTTTGTAGGGTTTCTGAAATAGTACTTACGTGTTCTTCTGTGATGTCAATATATGACACCCTTAAAGTAAATCGAATGCAATATAAGTATGTATTCATTTTATACATTTATTTCACAACACATAAGAGATTTATGAAAAAGATTAATAAACGCCTATTTATCTCAAGCCCCTGGTAAGCTAATACAGGTATAAGACAGAGATATCGCATTATAACGTCCTGCAATGCTTTTCATTGCCTTATCAATCAATAAATACAATTATAAATACTGCAAGTTACTAGTATGTAGAATACTGACCGTCATCAATTTGTTTACACTTTGAGGGTGAAGTGGGATCAAACCTAGCGTAGTTTGCTCTTTTACCAACATCATCGTTGTTGTAATAAATGCCATTTATTTAGTACCCGTACAAATAAATAATTTTATGTCAGGCTGTAACGTTTCACCTTTAACTTTTGTCTTAGTAAGCTATACGGTTGTATGTGTAATAATTTGGTACAGGGCTGGCAGGTCGGGAAGTTATGTAATATGACATGGCTCGCACGCCTGATGGAAAGCTCCCAGACCCTATACTGACCATCGTTGGTCCGGGGTCTACAAATTAACTTATTCTGTACTTTTAAATTTCCCTCCCTAATTTCTCCCACCCACATTTTACACTGCTGGGTCACAGATCATACTGAACTGAATCTTTTAATTTCACATGATATTCCTGTACATGTCTTCATATATATTTCTATTGTATTCATTACACCTTTGGTATGATAAAAATTATATTTTGGGTACTCCATGCTTGTTACACATGTTTGTATTGTGAGATAGCCGATTTTTTACCCCATCTTTGATATTATAGCCATATGTTAAGATCAACATTTATAGTATGAAGTACATCTTTAAGTATTGTGATATTTGATCAAGATTGATCAAGATTGATATGTCATTTATAAATGACATTAACAACACATTAAGTCTCCATTATTATTTAGAATTCTACATATGATCTAACAGCAAACTAGCTGTGGATTTTTGCTCGGTTTCAGAGATGACATAAAGTACATTTCTACAGTTGATGAAATATTGTGGGTCTCGGTTAATAATCTGGGGTGTATGGCCCTTTTCTGATATCTATTAGCTATCTGGTCAAATCGCTGATGAATAAAATTGCAATATACAACAGAAGTGTAAAAAAATAATTTGATATGCGATAACTTGAAATTGGTGCAAATTTATTCTCATTACAAAGCGTTTGTAGAATGTCAAAATGTAAACATTAAAGGAAATAAACAGTTAATGCTATTTTAATATCGGATAAATAACTATGTTGCTTATCACAAGTTCTTGCTGGCGTACATGAACTAGTAGTCTTATGTCAATTATACGTACTCATTTGAGTAATATGTTTTGTTTCCAGAGAGAAGCACAGAGAGAAAATACCAGAACTTCAGAGAGAAAACAAAGATCTACATGCAGACAAGTAGGTTAAATGAAGCTGATTACATAGGGAGAACTTAGAATAATTCTTCTCCAGGATAAAGCTTAAATGCCATATATCAAAGGATTTAATTCAACATATCTAACAACTTGTACAAAATTGCAAAAAGAACAAATGACAAATGATTAATGATGAATATTTTTAGCCCACCATCATCAGATTTTGGGCTATTATAATTACCATGCGTCCGTGGTCCGTCGTTCGTCTGTCCGTCAGTCCGTCATTCCGTCATTCCGTCCGTCTTTAAACAATTCTTGTAAGCACTATTCCTCAGAAAGTACTAGAGAGATCTTTCGCAAATTTCACATGAAGGTTTCCCATAATCCGTAGTTATGCATATTGTTGTTTGGGACTGATCGCAAAACCACAATGGCTGACAGACAGCCATCTTTAATTAGAAAGTTAAAGTTTGTTATCGTTATTTCTCAGAATGTGCCAAAGGGATCTTTCTTAAATCTTGCATGAAGGTTCCCCATGATCCCTAGTTATGCATATCGTTTTTTGGGACTGATCGCAAACCAAAATAGCCGAGAGGCAGCCATTTTTAATTTGAAAATTAAAGTTTGTTAGCGTTGTTTCTCAGAATGTACCTTACGTATCTTTCTCAAATCTTACATGAAGGTTTCCCATGATCAATAGTTATGCATATCGTATTTTGGACTGATCGCAAAATCAAGATGGCCGACAGCTAACCATCTTGAATTTGAGAATTAAAGTTTTTTAGAGCTATTTCTCATAAAGTATTGAAGGGTTACTTCTCAAATTTCACATGAAGGTTTCCCCTTGTCCATTGATATGCATATCATTTTTTGAGACTGATCGCAAAACAGGATGGCCGACAGGCAGTCATCTTGGATTTGAGTTTGTTAGCACTGTTTCTCAAATGGCACTGGAGGGATCTTTCTCAAATTTTACAGGAAGATTTCACATGGTCCCTAGTTTTGCATATCTTTGTTTTGGACTGATCACGAAAACAAGATGGCCGACAAGCAGCCATCTTGAATTTGAGAGTTAAAGTTTTTATTGCTATTTCCCAGAACTTATTATTTTCAAATTTCACATGAAGGTTCCCTAGGACCCCTAGTTATGTACATTTTGTATATCATTTTTTTGGGACTGATCACAAAACGAAACTGACCATAAGGAAGAACTCAAGAATCTTTAATTCGAGAGTTTGTTTGTTAGCGCTGTTGTTCAAACAGTTCTGGAGGGGTCTTTCTATAATTTTAGATGAAAGTTTTCAATGGTTCCTTGTTCCGCATTTGAAATTTTGGATATGATTGGAAAACCAAGATGGCTGGCAGGTGGTCATATTGAATTCGGGAGTACATTTTGTTATCTCTATTGCTCAAAAAGTACTGGAGGGTTCTTTATCAAATTCACATAAGGGTACCTCTTGTTCTTAATTATGCATATCAAATCATATCGGCCGGCCATTTTGTTACAGTTTGAGTTTGTTATTGCTATTTTTCAGAATTTACTGCAGGAATTTTTCTCTTAGTTGTGAATGTTAACATTTGAGGTTGATCAAAAGATAAATTAAGATGGCGGACAGGCAAACTGATCATACAGATAAGTGAAAAGAAGAGAAAAGAAGGGAAAAGATCGAACTGACATAGAACTAATGAAGATGGTGCAATGGTGGGCGCCAAGATCCCTCTGTGATCTCTTGTTTAAAGTATCAAATCCAATTAGGGAAGTCGATTTAAGTGGAAGATTCGAAAATGTACAGACGTTTCTTCTACCATATGTAGCCAAGATGCGTATGTAAGTTTTAACTACATGTATATCATCTGATAAAAATAGCAGAGACAACGTGAATGTCGTTATTTAAGCAATGGATGTGGAATTCGGAAACAGCGTTCCATTCCGGAAATGTAATTTAGCGTTTTGACTAAAGATTTTACATATAGGCCTGGTTTTAGATACAATTTAAAACTAACATTAATAATCCACCACCTACCTATAGATAATCGCTGTATGGTGATAATATAATTACAAAACGATCCCCGACGATACATGTCAGTCATGCAAGCATAATTCTGCTGTTGCTCGTATATGGTAAGTAATATTGAAAGAGGTGTTTTCTTTTACCGATATTTATTGTTTTGTTGGCACTGAAGTAAACTTGTTTGTTTTCAAGATACAAGCGCCACGTAAACAGATAAATAAAAGCATTGAGGAAGTAAATGCTTCAATGTATTCATGTAATATATGTTAGAGCAATATTCCTTTCTGCGGTATAAATTGAATTTGTCAAACAACAAACCATGTATTTTCGTGCATGCATTTGTGCTTGCATACAAATATGTACATATTTATTACAGTATACAAAGTAAAACCAAGTTTTTCATTCTGAAAATCTGTATAGAGTCAAATGAGTATATGTATTGTGTCATAACTATCATCATGTTTTATACTTTCCAAGTGAGAAGAAAAGAAAAGAAATAGAACAATTACAAAAGGATAAATCAGATCACACAAGGGACAGGTATGTTAATATTTTTTTTGAAGATAAGAGTAAAATAGTAAGATAGCTCCATGTGTAATACGGGATTACTAATAGAAACCTATACCGATATTTGATCATACAAAAAATAAAAGAAATTATTTTATCAAAGCAGACCTAAGTTGTTGACAATGCAAAAGGATCTTTCACGTTTGTGTTTTTATCAGGCGTCACTTTTCGTTTTAGAGGCTTGACACACCATCTATACATGTGAATATATAGATATTTTCACCTGGATGTTTTCTTAATTGGAAACGATGCGTTATAACCTTGTTTTCTTTACATTTCTTCAATCTTACTTAAATGAAATTTTGTTATTTTAAATTTGTATGAACATGTATTATAAAACGTCTAATAATATATATATATATCAGGTCTTTTATCCGAATAACAACCTAATTTTAAATGCCGAGTCTCATTATTGCCGACGTATTGACATTTACGATTATATTAACAAGATTAAAACACGTAAAATAGACATTTTTATAATATTACTGATACATCTGAACACATACATTGTAGCAACGACTGACTGCGTGTCTGTTCCACAAGTAATAAAGAACCATATCGGGCAAAATAAGTATTACTTGATACAAATAACAATACATTTTAACATTTGTTATCAATACCGATTTTACTGCACATGTTGATTTCTCTAATCGTAGAAAGTTAACGGTTCCTTACACTATGATATCAATTGTGTACTAAGATTAATAATATTTAGTAATAACGATGAATTTATAGTCAGGGAAAGAAGAAAGGAGGAGGAAAGGGGGAAAAAACGTCCTCGGCGGATACGATTTCAAAGCTTCATGATGAAATTGATGGTCTGCGAAACAGGTGTGTGATGCAACATACCATACTTTATGTTGTATATATGTTGCACTTGTTGTTTTGATACGTCTTTTATCCGTTGTTGGTACATTGTCGTATTGAATCATTACGGCCATTGTATGGGATCTTATGTACGTTGTAATGTTGAAGTAAAGGTGAACCGTTTTAAATATTTTGAAGAAAACTTTAATAGGAATATGAGAGTATCACAGTCTGAGTTATGATTTCTGTATGTGCCGATTATTTCATATAATTTTTATTTTTCACTTCGGATATTTGCATAGCTATTACTACTAAGGAAACTCTGCTTTGAACAGGTTGAGTAAAATGGCAGGTGCACAGCTAACTGACAACAATCCTGCAATCGCAGACCTCAGCGATCCAAACCGTCCCTTGAGTCTCGGAGAAAAGTTTTCCGAGTTGTATGATAACGAATGGACGGACGCAATGGAGGAGATGGCAGATAGAATATCAGATGAGACAAAAGTAATAAAACTACTACTGGATATTGTGTGTGTAAGTATGTATGTTCATTATTACTGGTATACAACGACTATCGGGTATTATGTTTGTAAATAAGTGCGTTAATTGTTAGTATCACATGATACGAAATCACTGGAGATTGTGTGTATATGTGTTAATGTCTTGTACATTGTTTCACGTGATACAACAGTTTGTGTTAGTATGATATTACTTTATAGAACTGCATTTTAACACTGCGTATTGTCTTTGTTAATATGTGTGTAAGTTGCATCTGTATTAGTATCACGATAAGGAAAATAGGGTATACTCTTTAATCAAATTACGGCTTGATGGGTTTTACACTTATTAAATAAAAATACTATAGAAATGCAAGGTGTGACAGACATGCAATTTTGGGAAAATTGCCGAATAGACGCAAATAAGCCGATACATGTCCTGTCTTTGAACAATTTCAGTTATTGATGTTTTGTTTCGGAGTTGAGGAAGGTCGTTATGTTTTTTTTAATCAGCCAATATGTTTAAGATTAATTTTTGTGAGTTCTACTACGTAGAAAACCTTTCCCACAACCACAATAGGTTTCCTGATTCACGACTTATCGAATTGCCTAGATAGAAGTTGTCAAACATTTACGCACTAGTCGAACATTTAGTGTATTTATTTTGTCTTTTTATTATGATGACGTAATGTGATAATGTTTTGCGATGCTATCTTCCTTTGAGACGTCATGATTGCAATAATTGTTCCCAACATTGGAAACATATTCAATTTGTTTTGTCAACAATGAACGATATTCGTGATTGGTCGTTATCATGCTTGCCTAACTCTCATTAGTGCATGTTTAAGCTGTAAAAGACCCTTGGTAAAGCTGAAATTAACTTACCAATGAACATGATCACTAACCATCACCGGTAGGGTTACATATATGTGCACCAATGTTACGAATCCTGAATGTGACGCTTAGTGCCTTGGGCAAATATCACTATGGTTAACACGTTTTTCTTTTATTATTTCAATTTTGTTAATTTTAGGATGCCTACAAGTTTTGCTTAGACAAATCAGATACATTCATGGATAAGATAAACAACACTCTTAGTGGATTCTCTGAGGAGTTCAGCTCATCGGAGGTGAGTTATATTCATGCTTATGCTTTACATAATCGAACATGCAAAAGGAAAAAACAGGCATCTGATGTATTAAGCTTACAGGTTGGAACAACTATGAAATATGATGATATAATTATGCCAGGTGACATGCTTTCTAATACTTGCCTATAATCGTTTTGGTAACATTGTAGACGATGCCAAAGGAAATTGCCAAAACCAACAAAGACTACCGGAAAAGTTTGGCAGTATATGTCGTCAGCTTCCTACAACAGGTATATAAAAAAGTTACTAGAAGTTACGTTTTTCCTGCACCATTGTCACTCAATCTAGGTAGGACCCATTATTCTCTTATTTCCATGTGTGTAAGATAGAGCTGTCCAGGGTAGGAAAGGGGTGTAGGAAATGTCTATCCCACACACCATTTCAAGCGACTTGGCGTCACAATGGCTCAACAATGACGTGACGTCACGAATTTGGAAAACTCCGGTGCCGCAATGCGGAAAAGTCGACGTGATGAAATCAAAATTAACCATACAAATCAGGAAGGTGAGATTATGGATATGCTAAATCTGACTGACTGATTCGTTTTCGTCTAAAAAGATTAGAGTTTCTTTTTTTTTAAATGGTAACCAGTCCAAACGCATTTTCATGGTTTCTGAGCTTATTCTGGTAGTTAGAATAAGAGAAAAATACTGTTGCATGCCTACAAGTGTAGGATAGGGAAATTACACTTTCGGGATTTTCAAATTTGGGAAAACCTTCGGAAAAGCCTCGGGTTTTACCAAATTTAAAACCCTTTCGGTGGAATTTCCCTGTCTTACACCCCTGGGCATGAAACGGACTTTCTAGTCAAAAGAAAACAAATCCGTATTTACGATAAGCTAAAATAAAAATCAAAAATCCCATTAAAATGTTATTTCGAGACGTTTTACTAAACAAATTGACAGCAGAAGATGTATTCGTAAACTATCAAAAACTGATTTTATATGCTGGATATAGCCTCAAGAAGTATGAGTATACAACAGAGACGGTTATGCATGTCTTTGTTTACCTTCGACGAATCAACAGTTAATCCGATGCGCCATGAAATAATTCTGATAATTATATTTTATGTCCGTTTTGTCCATTATGTGCTACATTATCTTGACAAATCTTCTCTGTAACCAGTTTCTATCGTTTAGCAGTGTTTTACGTAATGTATTGAAGGGTTTTTAGTTGCTCTTGAAATGAAAACAAAAAGCGTATACTTTTCAGGATTTTGCGAAAGAGGCGAAGGCAAAAGCAGACACCAAGGTAGGAACAAAGACGGAAGCGTACATGAAGAGGTGCGTGTTCGTGTGCTGGTTCATGACCGTACAGGACCCCAAGGTTTGTATCACAATGAAGCCATCAGAAATGTTCGACGAGGATCTGTATAAACCCTACACAAAGAAAGGCAAGCGTCTGGACTATGTAGTATGGCCAGTCTTGCGTCTTCACGAAGGAGGGCCTACAATTGGCAAGGGCGTGGCCCAAGGCAAACCATGATGCAGCAACGTTGGTTGTGCTATAAAAACTTGCTGATAAACATTTGACAAGGATGTCTGAACAATAACAACTTCAAAGCGTTCATAGTGTACTAAAATATTCTAGGTTGTGATTATCCATTTTTTATGTTTTATTATACATTTGTCTTTAAAGATTTTACAGTGGTCGATATTATCCATTAGCATCCGAAAAAATGACTTCTTAAAACATATATAAGCAAACAGGGGTGAGAAATTGTGTTCCGAACGTAGTAATTTCTGCACGATTTCTCACCCGGGTGATAATTCGTGTCGCGGTGTGAAATCGTGCCGTAACACCTTTACGTTTTTATGAAAAATTATTTTCACTTTATACTATTATGAAACAGAACAGTACAATGATGTCAAACCGATAATGGCTTAGTTATATTTCAGTCAATTACAATTATGTTGTAACATTTTTGTTTGGGAAAAAAAATGAAACTAATTTGAACGATAATGTCGATCATGTTGATATAGCATAAACTTGTGTGAATAAACCAGATGGTATGAATATTTGCGTTTCCGTTGTTCATTTCTCGATATTACGTTCATTTGTTATTAATCCCAATAACACATGTTCACATTTAAGTACTTGACACGTACATTTATGTATGCCACGGAATTCAAAACAAGTATGTTCATATAAATGTGGTGTTACACGAATACTAAAACTTGATAACAACTCTCAAAGCACGTAAAACAAAGATAGAAACACTGGACACTCCAGCAACTTGATATTGAATGCACAGAAAAGTAAACCCAACTTATACTGAACCATTAGTACCAAGCAGGTCAGTGTTGAACTCGAACAACAAACAGGAATAAACTGAACACAAGAACACCAATATGAAAAGCAGTAAATACAAGGGCATTGCACCGCATATATCCGAGCATATACAAACAATATGAAAGCATTGAATGATGCAATGAGTGCACCAAACATGACCAATCAACTGAAAAATACTGATTACATGACAAACATTATCTTACATGGAACACACGGGCAGTTTAACTCATCAACAGCGTAACGCACAAAGTACAAATCGGATATCACATAATACAATTTCTAGCAAATAAGATAACATTGAAAACCCGGAATAATAATGTTCGGATAACGAATAACACAAGAACAAAAATCTGGATAATGCTTAAGAAATGAACCAAACAAATGTTGACACGCAACCAGCAAAGCAGAAAGCACCTTCACGCGATAATTTGGCAAACATCGCTGTAAACATGATTAGCAACCACTATATGTTACGTAAAATGAAATAATCATAACGAGTAAACGATGAAATACCAGATAGCACAAAAATAAACACAGGAACAAAAGTTTGGATACAGCTGTAACACTGAATGGTTGTTAGATAAACGAAATAAGGAAACACCTATTTGACAGATGTGTATGTTGACGTCTAAACCCAACAAAGCAAACATTCTTACTGAATCATATAGCCATTTTGTCCCGTTTTGTTTCACCAGTAGTATAGTAGCATTGAATATCAACAGAATGAAAACACATGTAATCAACTCACAACACACAGAATATCTCTGAAGAGAGGCACATAAATCACAACACACAGGATATATCTGAAGAGAGGCAAATAACTCACAACACACATGATATCTCTGAAGAGAGGCACATAACTCACAACACGCCGGATAACTCTGAAGAGAGGCACATAACTCACAACACGCCGGATAACTCTGAAGAGAGGCACATAACTCACAACACACCGGATAACACTAAAGAAAGGCACATAACTCACAACACACCGGATACCTCTGAAGAGAGGCACATAACTCACAACACGCCGGATAACTCTGAAGATGAGCACAGAACTCACAACACGCCGGATAACTCTGAAGAGGAGCACAGAACTCACAACACGCCGGATAACTCTAAAGAGGAGCACAGAACTCACAACACGCCGGATAACTCTGAAGAGGAGCACATAACTCACAACACACCGGATAACTCTAAAGAGGAGCACAGAACTCACAACACGCCGGATAACTCTAAAGAGGAGCACAGAACTCACAACACGCCGGATCACTCTGAAGAGGAGTACATAACTCACAACACGCCGGATCACTCTAAAGAGGAGCACAGAACTCACAACACGCCGGATAACTCTGAATAGGAGCACAGAACTCACAACACGCCGGATAACTCCGAAGAGGAGCACAGAACTCACAACACGCCGGATCACTCTGAAGAGGAGCACATAACTCACAACACGCCGGATCACTCTAAAGAGAAGCACAGAACTCACAACACGCCGGATAACTCTGAATAGGAGCACAGAACTCACAACACGCCGGATAACTGTGAAGAGGAGCACAGAACTCACAACACGCCGGATCACTCTGAAGAGGAGTACATAACTCACAAAACGCCGGATCACTCTAAAGAGGAGCACAGAACTCACAACACGCCGGATGACTCTGAAGAGGAGCACAGAACTCACAACACGCCGAATAACTCTGAAGAGGAGCACAGAACTCACAACAGGCCGGATAACTCTGAAGAGGAGCACAGAACTCACAACACGCAGGATAACTCTAAAGAGGAGCACATAACTCACAACACGCCGGATAACTCTAAAGAGGAGCACAGAACTCACAACACGCCGGATAACTCTGAAGAGGAGCACAGAACCCACAACACGCCGGATAACTCTGAAGAAGAGCACAGAACTCACAACAAACCGGATAACATTGAACTCATAACAGGAACAGTATAACAGATAACACTGAACATATGATGAGGAATCGGAACAAAAACAATCTACAATACAGCGTATAACTCTGGACATTAGAGCAACATACCTGATAACACTATACGTAATAACAGCGGGTCGAATAACACGTACACCAATAGCAACAGCATATCATTGAACACTTTACCAGCAAACCATAAAACTATTGAAAAGACGAACAGCAAACCCGATAACACTGGACAAAGGAACTGCAACTAAGCACACAAATCACAGCAACAAAACGATTAAACTGAACACGGAATAATAGATCGGATAGCGATAAACGCACGAAAACAAATCCATATGAAACTGAAAACACGAACAGCAGACTACACATCTTCACCAAAATAGAAGTTATAACGTATACAATGTGTACCGAGGAGAGTACTACATTTGACATGGAGCATTGTGACGTTACAATTGAAACGAAGTAAATATTGACTGCTGTTCTAAAAATAGTATCATCGAGTTACTGTAAACACAAACATTACAGATCTCTACGTGATTATGATCTAACCCGTGAGGATGTAGGGAAA